TTAAAATTATTTTTTAAAAAAAGACTGCATGTTTTCCAAGACACACACATTCTTTCTGCAGTCCAATCAATACTCTTCTCCAAAGAAATCAAAGGCACTGATTCTTCTAGGGTTACCTTCTTCATTCCTAACTTTCAAATATATCTGAATCTATTGAATATATTCTCTCTTGGGTCAGATACACCTCAATCTTTAAACTAGCATACTTGCTCTTTAGCACTTTAAAGAAGTCTTTTACAGCACCTTGCTCAATGCAATATGTCTTTTGATTTATTGACTGCTACTCCCATGGGTGTTGATTTTGTACCCAAATAAAATGATGTAAAATCTTCTTTATTTTTGCTCATACTATATCAATACTGATGATTTTCTAAAGTGAATGAAATCTCCATGGTTTTAGATGGAAAGTACACAGGTAAGGTCAGACATCTTCACTTCTGAATGGCATCCTGTCTATATTTGTCATTTTCAGCACCTATAATGGAAGAAAGAATATTCTTATACAATTAACTTCTTTATTCTTAATAATATACCCTTTTTATTATTACTATTACCAATAATATTTTATCAAATGTAGAGTGTATTTGAAATTTCCCTATTCCACTATGTAATGTTTATGTAAGATTCATTTAAGTTAAAACCAAAACTTCATATTCACAACTGTAAAATGAGCAGTGATAATTACCCTCCCTCCTTACCTACTTTGATCTTGTCATACATACGGAAGATTACTTCCTTCTTAAACACAGTTCACCATAGAGCACAGACTTTGACATTTCTCAGATGCAGATATGAGTAATCAAACGGTAATCTACACAGAATTGAATCTGGAGAAGAAGTCAGAAAGGCAGAAAATTAAGGATGCTAATGCCTCCATTTTGAATACTGACCAAGAGCTAACTTATGTGGAATTAAACCTTCATACTACATCTCAGAATCTTCAAAATAATGACAGAAATCTCTTCTGTAAAGGTAAAATATTTAATTTGTAATACACTTGGCTGAAAAGTATAATTTTAGTGCCAAGTTGTGGGGAAAAAAATAAACAGAAAAAAGACCTGGTACAATTATAGTTAGATTAACAATATACACTCACTATTTTTTGGTTTTGAGGATGGAAGCTAAAATACACATATATTATAAAATTTGAAGATTACTTTTATTCAGGCTTTATTTAAATTGTGTTTGATGTATAATTTATGGTATATTATTTTATGAAAAATGCTAATATTTTTTATTAAAAATTTACAATGAAGAATATGAAGAAATATCTTTTGTATATGTCACCCTGTGCTTTTGGATTCTCATATCTAAACATTGTAAATATTAGTATATTTATCTTTTCTGAGTGTTTATACTCATCTTTTTTTTTTCATATCTCTCATTATCTTCAGGGAAGCTCATTGCTGGTGTCCTTGGAATCATCTGCATTGTCTTGATGACCAGTATTTTAACCATAACAATTATGTTTATTATTCCTTGTAAGTCATTAAAAGCTTGTTACAGAATACTCCCTTTAAGAATTAGAAAGTTTCCCAATATATTCCATGAAATAGGCAATCACATTCTTATATTAATGTTTGTATTTGTTCCTTGTGTTTGTTAATTTCATTTTTAAACTGACAAATAGAATGGCTCATCAATGTGGACTAAATGTAATAAAAGTTACTATGGATTGTTTAAAGCCATGTAAGAATTCTATTTACTCTATATATGTATATTGGATATATATAGTTCTTTTCAATTCTAAATATACACACAAATATATGAAATCAATGTTATTGTTGCTGTGTGCTGTCAAGTTAGAGTCCATTAATAGTTGACCTTCCAGTGGGTTCTCAGAGGTAGTAGATAATATGGTAGGAGAGTGCCCATTCTTTTCTTTAAAAACAGCTGTTGGATTTAAACCATGTGTCTTTGAGATTGCAGGGCAGTTTCGTACTATTTGTGTGTGTGTGTGTGTGTGTGTGTATGTGTGTGTGTGTTTACATGCATCTGTATATATGTATGTGTATGTATATGTGTATACATATGCTGTTTTCATTCTAAATATGTGTCTGAATATTTATACACACACACACATACACATACATACACACACATATTTACAGCGTATGTCCATTTTGACCAAGAAGACAAAGATTCTCACCACTGGGCCATTTGGCAGCACCAGGATGGATGGAGAACAGATTCTGCTTGTTAACAGTTAAATCTTGCTTAGCTCCACAATCAACACTCTTAACACCAGCAGTCAGGAAATCAAAAAACAAACTGCACTAGGAAAATCTGCTGTCAGGGACCTCTCCAGAGTCCTGAGAAGCAATGATATTTGTCTAGAGACTAAGGTACATCTGATCCAGGCCATGGTCTGTGCAATTACTTGCTATGCATCAGAGAACTAGACAATGACTAAGGATGACAGAAGAATTATTAATGCCTTTGAGTTGGGGTGCTGAAGAAGAGTATTGAACATATCATGGGCTTCCACGAAAACAAATAGGTCTGTATTGGAGAGGGTGAAATCAGGTTTCTCCTTCGAGGCTAGAATTTTCAAGCTCTGTCTCATATACTTCAGGTATGTGGCCCGGAGAGACCAGCCCTTGGAAAAGGATAACATACATGGAAAGGTGAAAGGACAGCGCAGGGCATGAAAACCCAGATGAGATGGATTGATGCAGTAACTAGGGAAATTAGGGGTAGATGTGTCATACTAAGTGAGACTGGCTCAGTAGAGGGTAAATTTCAGAATTGTTGTACGTAGGATTGCTATGAGTCTCAGATGATTTGACAGTACATAACAACAACAAGAACACAGTGGACATATCCATATTTGTATGTTTGATACTCTTTAAAATTTGCACTGAGAAACAAAAAAAAATGGGTAATAAATTTTAATTTTTGAGATTAAAATCAGTTAATCTGTAAAAAATTATAAAATGTGTCCACTAAGTTATCCAACCTTTTTTGAAAATCCTTCATTTTAAATCTTTATTGGTAAGATAATTTGAATACTGTATAATGTTTAATGACATCAAAATTGAAACTAGAAAACTAAAATTATTAGTAGTTATTGTAGAATTACTAATCTTTGTGTACTTTAATTTTTATAGCTCAGAAAATGCTGAAAAACAACAATTCAGAAACAGCCACAACCCAACCAGGTATTCAATAATTTTTAAAATTCTGATATAATAAAATTACACTTTGTCCCTAACCATAACTCTCTTCTTTTACAATCGATTCAATTACGCTTTGTCCTTTAATTACAATGTAGAAAATTCTGTCAGGATGTTCTATTGTGTTACTTGTTTGGAGTTCAGAATTTACTATGCAGTACCTAACAACAAAAGAGCAATATAAGAAATTAATAATTTCAATGTCCTAGTGAATTGATGTTCAGTAATTTTCAGAACATGCTTTGTCCAGAACTATTCTTTGCTTACTTTTTTAATGTTTCATATACACATATTTGACATTTTAGGTTTTTATCTAATGTCATTATGCCTATATTTCAGATTGTTTTTATATTGTAATGCAAACCATTTCTTGATATTAATTCATAACATTTTACAGCTTGTAGTTGTGGTCAATGCCCAGATGATTGGTTTTACTATTCTAACAACTGTTACTATATTAGTGATGAAGAAAAAACCTGGAATGTGAGTCGGATATCCTGTGCATCTAAAAATTCAAATCTTCTTCATATAGATAATACAGAAGAGCAGGTAAGAATTAAAACATATGAAATTTTTAAAAAAGTATGTCATACTAAAAGAAAGGTATGTAAAAGAAATTTCATCTGATAATAGTTTTTTTTTCTCAAGAAACTATAGCAGTATATGATTTGCTACTTCTTGTTATTAAAGGGAGATTTGATTACTTAGTGGTAAGGAATTGCAGTCAACACAAAGGCACGAGATTTGAATTTCCTACTCATGGAAGGAATATGTTCCATCTCCCCCCCTTCGGAACAGTTGTCTCTGAAAGTCTGCTGTAGGGTCAGCCATGAGTCTGTATTGACTCTATGCTATAGAACAAGAATTGGTATTAAACAATAAATTTTAGCCTGTTTTAGAAGCACAGAGGGAATCTGGTGGTCTAGTGGGTAGCTTCCCTGCTAAAGGCAAATCTCTTCAGTCATTCAAATCTGCCAGTGGCTCTGTGAGAGAAACATTGGAACTGCCCTTCTATGGGATTTACAGTCTCTCCAAAACTCATAGAAGTATCTGCTGTAAGTCAGTTCCAACTGCATAGCAGTAAGAAAAAAAATTAAAAAGTAAATAAACCTAATTTTATTCTAGGAAATGGTTAAATATCTTGATTATTTCAGTGACATAGTATTTATTTTTAAGTCACCGATAGTTGTTTATATTATATTTGTTCCAATGTAAACAAATCCAAATGCAAAAAAAAAAAGTGACAATAAATCAGAGAGAAAAAAAATCCCTGAAATTATAGCTAAGATTTAGTAATAGAAATTGCTAGCACCACCCTTCCCCCATCAGTACTGGTCTTGTGTCTGTTCTTCATTCAACCAATATCCTTACTTTATGTAAAATTTATTAACTGAACAAACTCATTACTATCTAGTCAGAACTTATTTATAACTTAACATCCAGTGAGTTTTCTCACTGGATTTTAAATCTCTGAGTATTTTAAATCTCTGAGGAGGTGATTGTCTTCTTTCCTCCCATGGAATTCCTGGGTGGTTTGGACCATCAAAGAGAGGCTCTTTCTTTGGGTTAGTAGCACAGAGTGTTCTGCCAACACAGAAATTCAAATATGAGACATAGGAGCAACTCTACTTACTCTATCTTAGAAGATTGCTATGGATTGGAATGAATGTGACTGCTTCATTAGACTTTCTCTGATTTTATTATTTCTTTAATTCTATGTAACTCAGTTTCTCATAACAATTTCAACAATTTAACTTCCTATTCAGCCATTTTTACAGATACTGTTTTGTGACATTGATTGTATTCTCTTCAATATATGATCACTTGTTATCCATATAGTGGTTCTATTTCTGCAAGGTTATTAACTACTGCCTGTGGTTTTTAATGACTGGTCACTTGATACTGGATTCAAACCTTCAATTATTTAGGTGGCATCTGAATCTAATAACTATTTGAATTACACAGAGACCATTACACTTAACTGCTTAAGGAATATGTTTATTTAACTTTGTAACAGGCAGTTCAAACATTACAAGTCTAAGACAGAGGTTCTTATATGCCTATTTCAGTTTCCGTTTGTTTATTCATTTAATAATTTGTACACATTTTCAAATGTAAAATAGATTTACATTTTATTTTACCTCTTTCTTTAAATGCAAGAATATTCCTTTTTTATTTTACATATCTTAATTTTTTAAATCATAAAGATATGTATATATCACAGTCTGCAGATCTATCTAAATTTTTACTTATTTATTATTTCCAAATGTGTCAAGTCTTAAATTATATGATGTTCTTTTTTTTAAAGTAACATTACCAAAATTACAGGGGAATTCTAGTGACCTAAGGATAAGAAACAATGCTGCCATCTCAAAGAGACATGGTTAGAATCCATCAACTTCAGAGAAAGAAATGGGACATCCTCTCCTATATGATTCTCTGCCTCTGAAAACCTGCTGGAGAGTCGGTTGTATGTTGCTTCTGACTCTACAGTACTGATAGAAAATAACCACAATACCTAACTATTCACATAACTATTTTTAACCAGAAGTAAAAGATTTGTGAGCATTTTTGACAATATGAAATGTGGATTTCAATTTTAATATATTTTTAATGTTAGGATGCAGAGCTCTTATTTTCTTTAAAATATTAGAGTGAAAGAAAACATTGCACACATTTTTAAAGGACTGTTTTAAAGAACTTTATGACCATAAACACAGAGTTTTAAATTTTTTTTTTCTGATAGAATTTTATAATGTCCCTGTCATCTTTATCATGGATTGGACTCTTCCGTGAAAGCCATCACCATATGTGGCACTGGATAAATGGGACAAATTACACCACAAGGTAAGTTTTTCCAAGTAATGCTGCACAAATAAAAATATAGGGAAAAAACCCCTGATAAATAGTATTGTTATTATGCGTACATTGATTTGTGGAAATTGCATCATTGTTGTTACGTGCCTGTGGAGTCAAGTTGAGTATGAAACATAATGACACTATGGACAAAAGATCTGAACCTTGTCCTATTCTGTGACATCTTTATCATATTTGAAAGACTTGAGCCCTTTGGTGCAGTCACTGCCTCAATGCATCTGGTTTGGGCATTATCTCACCAGCAATTTGCCTTCCAAGAATGATGTCCCTTTTCAAGAAAAAGACTTTCTTAATAAAATGCTTAAAATATTTGAGATAAAATTTTACCGTTTTTGCCTCCAAGAAATACTGTGACTGCACTTTCTCGAAGAGGTGGCTGTTCGTTCTTTTGTCAGTCCATGAGATATTCATCACTTTTCTTTAAAAATACAGTTCAAAATCATCAATTCTTCTTCTGTCATCCTTTTTTATTTTCCAGCTCTCGGCAGCATAGCAAGTGACTTAAAAGAATATGGCCTGAATCAGGCATATCTTAATCTTAAAACTGACACCATATTTAGTAATTTGAAGAAGTCCCTGACAGTTTACTTTTCTTTTCTTATTTTTTCTGAAAGTTGACCTCTCTTTTTTAAAATTCTCTATTAGTTTATTTACAAAATCCTAATACATTGTTTTCAAGAACAGATTATTTCCATTTCCCTCCCCCTCCCCCATTAAATTGTACAACCCATGACTAATCCTCTCCTCCCCCTGCGCATCCACATCTCTCTGCTTCCAACCTCTCCCACCCCTCTGAGATCCTTATACTCATTCTGCAAAAATGGTTTTATACAATATTTATCCTTGTGGGACTGAGTTAGTTCACTCAGCATAATGCTCTACAGTCCCTCCCAAGTTAGGCAATAGTTTACAAATCATTGCTCCTGTGTGTTGCATAGCATTCCATTGTGTGAATGTATCATAATTTCTCAATCCGTTCATTTGTGGTTGGACATTTAGACTGATGACAGTTGACTTTTCTAATGCTATATATTTACTGATCTGCTGATTGCTGCTACCTATATGTTCATTGTATATCCTCCTCACTTTCTGCAAGCAATGTTGTGTCAGTTGAATATCACAGGATATTGATGAGCCTTTCTCTAATTCTGACATTCTGATATTCTTCATAAACACCACCTTCTCAAATGATTTGTTCAGCATTCATATTGAATAGGGAGCTCTGGTGGCTTAATGGTAAGGAATTCCATAGTCCATACAAAGGTATGCAGTTCAAACCCACCACGTGCTCTGAGAAAGTAGGATGGACAATCAACTCTAGTGTGATTTAGTGCCTCTGAAAACTTGCTTGAGGGTCCGCTCTGGTTCAGTTCTGATTCTATAATACACATCAACAACAATAGATTCAATAGGATGAGAGAAAGAATACAACCATAAAGCATACCTTTCTTCATTCTAAACCATGAAATGTTCAAAAAGTAGTTTCTGTGTCTCAGTAAGTTTTCTCTGACTATAATTAAATGTACTAGGATTCTCAGTCTTCTCACAGTCAAATGTCTTTTCATGATCAATAAAGCACAAACAGATATTCTCTTGTATTATTTGTTATTAGACAGAATCCATCTGACAACAACAATGATATCCTTGGTGCTACGGCCTCTTCTGAACCAGCTTGAACTTCTGGCAGTTTTCTGTCAATGTACTGTTCTAACCATTTGAAAATAGTCTTCAGCAAGATTTTACTTGCATGTAGTATTAATGATGTTGTTCAATAATTTCCAAATTCTGTTGGATTACTTTTCTTGGGAATGAGAACAAAAGCTGTCTTCCAAATGAGCATGTCCAGGGCTGCATCTGTTCCTTGAATCTTGTCAATTGGTATACCATTGATTTCTGGGACCTTATTTCTTGTCAATGTCTTCGTGCAGCTTGAACATCTCCCTTTATTGTATTGGCTCTTGATCTCATGGTTCTTATTGAAATACTTGAGTGCTGATCAACTCTATTTGGTAGAGATATTCTGTATTCCTTTCATCTTCTCTTGATGCTTTTTGGATCATTGAGAGTTCGTCCACAGCATCTCTAAGCATAGAAATGTAAAAACAATGCTAATTAATAAAATGGATTCTTGATACAAATATTAGTGAAGAAAGAACTGCTCAGTGATCATAAAAATGACTAATATTTAATGAAAAATGTTATTTTCCCTTTCCAAATTTTGTCAACTTAGTGTTAAGTGTAAAACACCATTGTTTTATGTATTACCACAACAATTTACTGAGTTTATGTATTTTTATCTATTACAGAATGTCAGATCCAGGAAACAATTCATATAACTGTGGTACATTAACCTGGTATGATGTTCAACCAAACAGATGTGGACTTAGTACAACATATATTTGTAAGCGTAAGATTTACAGGTACAAAATTTGACTTTGAAGCCTTCAGAAGTCTTTGTATTTTATGAGACAAAAATAATAGCACATTTGTAAAGTTTCATACTCCATGACGTTACCGTTTGAACTAGAAGTTCCACGTTTCTGGTCTCCCTGTTCTCCATACTATGTGCTTTTTCCATGCCTAATTTTCACCAGTAAACTGTAACCATGAGCTTAATGTATTCCATGAGTCTCCCCCAACCAATCCATATGTTTACTTATCTGTTTAATTTACAACAAAGCAAAAATGTCTAAATTAATGTCATTATAGAAAAAAATATGTTGGGCTTGTATGAGTGTACAATATTTTGTTCATTTTCAAGAATTGTGTTTATTTTCCATTAACTTAAGTACAAATCAAAATAGTTGTACTTTAAATGTTCATCTCTAGACTAACTTGACTAGTTGCTACTTTTTGAATAGCAAAGACAGCTATTGTATTTTAAATAAACACATTTTTACACAATTTTATTGTGTAAAAACATGCATGTGTGTATACACACACACAATCACACACACACACACATACACACACACACACACATATATTTGTTTAAGATAGTTAAATACCCGCCTTACAGCTTCTGTGACCTTGCTAGTTGAACCAGCTATTTTATGAATCTGAGTTATTTATGAATATTTTCTTGTCCTACATAGTAATATTTGTATTTTTTCTCAAATTCCAACATATTATTTCTTTTAACATAAGAAAAAATTATCCATAATTCAAAGATGACTAGATGATTAATAAAGAACTTTATTGCATTATTTCAATACCAGGCATAGTGATAAAGATCAATATATGTTAATGTTTTATCCTTACAAATTCCATTTATTTTATCAGAAGTGTCTGAAATTTCAAATTTATTGTATAAAATAATACAAAAATGATAAAAAAATATAGACCGAATGAATCTAAAATACTGTTTTTGCTATGATATCTAATTTTTACCATCAACAACTGTGCTGAAATGGCAATGAGTGTCAATGATGATTAGTTATTATACCAGTAGTAGTGTGAAAGGCTTACTATAAAAGGCCTTCCCTAGTCACAGAGTTTGGGTTTTCACGCAAATGTCAGGAATATATGAATGAGTATGTTAGCCTATCTACAGTGGATTAGTTTATCTATCCAATAAATACAGCAGATTTAGCAGCAAAATTTGAGTCTCTCAATACCAGCAAAGAAGAAGCAAGAAAATCTAATATAGTTTTAAGGATGAGAATTCTAATTGAATCCAGACCAGGGACTACAGGAGCAGTAAACATAGCAGCCAGCAGCAGAGAATCAGAGACCTGAGCTGAGACTGAGCTGACCTTGGGACTGCAATGCCAAAGAACCAAACCCTTTTGTACAAGTTTGTTGGAGCACTTACAGAGAGACTAGGGGCAAGGAGAAAGCCATAACTGGCATGACTAAAGAGCCTAAATCCAGGAGGCTGAAGGTTGAGGTGCCTACTGAGCACACATATCAGATGCTGTTCTTACTGATTTTATTCTGCTACTAATCTGAAGTATAGCTTTTTTGCTTCCTTAATATGGTTTTGGGTTGTCTGTGAGCTATCACAATAGAGTTTGGGTCCAGTGGAGTGAGATTGGTGTTGGTATGAATAGAAAGAGGTGTGGGAACATGGGGGGCATGTCTGACCTCATAGGGGTTAGTCTTGTATTGCTAATGTTGTTGAAGGGCCAGTACATCTCCGTGTAGTAGAAAAAGTAAAACATGGTCATTCCCATGCAGTCCTTGCTGAGGTAAAACTGAATATTGAATGGGTAATGAAAAATATGACTACATATACCAGGAATCCTAGCATGAACACATGAGGAAATGAGGACTCTAATTGTTAGAAATATGTCTTCTGGTTTTCTTGCTTTGCTATGAATATGATTTAGTATATCACAAATTAAAATTTTCTTTTCTTATCCATTTCTTATTTCTGTATGGGAGCTCTCATGGCCTGGTCCATAAGGAATGTTGTTTTTGTTAGATGCAGTCAAGTGTGAACAACTCACAGCAACCCTCTAAATAATCAATCTAGACACTGCTCTATCCCATGCCATCCTCACAATCTCTGATACAATAGAGGTCATTGGTGTATTCACCATGTCAATCCACCTAGTCAAGGGTTTTCCTCTTTTTTACAGTTCCTTTTTCATCTCAAGTATGATGTTCCTCTCTGGGGAATTATCCCAGGAACAGATTTGAGGTCTTGAACAATAATGAGTGAAGACCGGATGAGCTGTGGGAAAAATCAAGAATATCATCCAGGAAGAATGAAAAAGGTCATTACAAAAGCAGAGGAGGAAGAAAAGACAAAGATGGATGTCAGAACAAACTCTAAATATTGAACTAGAGTGCCTAAAAGCCAAAGCAAAAGGAAGAAATAAATATATTAAGGAGTTGCACAGAATATTACAGAGGACAACTTGGGAAGACAAAATAAAGTATTACAATGAAATGTACAAGGAAAAATGTACAAGAAATGTACAAGAAAATCAAAAGTGCCAAACTTGCTCAGCATTTCTTAAGATGAAGGAACTGAAGAACAAATTCAAACCTCAAGTTTTATTACTTAAGGATGCTTTGGGCAGAATATTAAATGATTCAGGAAGCATTAAAAGAAGATGGAAAGAGTATGCAGAGTCATTGTACCAAAAGGAATTGACAGACACAGAAGAATTTCCCAAAACAAATTATGAGCAACAGTGTGTGGTCATGAAAGAAGTTCAAGCTGCTCTGAAAGAATTGACAAAAAACAAGTCCCCAGAAATTGACTGGAATTTGGACTGACATATTTCAATGTACAGGTGCTGCTTTAAATATGCTCACCAAGTTGTACCAAGAATATTGGAGAACAACCACCAGGCCTACTGACTGGAAGAGATATATATTTGTTCCCATTCCAAAGAAAGGTGATCCAACAGATTGTGGAAATTATCGAACAGTATTATTGATATCACATGTGAGCAAGATTCTGCTGAAGATTATCCAAAAACAACTTAAACACCACATCAACAGATAACTGCCTGAAGTGCAGGCTGGCTTTAGAAGAGGCTGTGGCACTAGGGATATTATAGCAAATGTCAGATGAATCTTGGCTGAAAGCAGAGAGTACCAGAGGAATGTCTATCTATGTTCCATTGACTATGAAAAGGCATTTTACTGTGTGGATCACAACAAACTGTGGCTGATTCTGAGAAGAATGGGAAACCCAGAACTCTTGATTGTACTTATGTGAAACCTATACCTAGACCAAGAGGCAGTCATCAAAACAGAGTAAGAAAACACCGTGTGGTTCAAAATTGGGAAAGTTGTACATCAGTTGTGTGTCATGTCTCCATATCTTTACAATCTATATGCAGAACAGATTATCCAGGAGTCTGGGCTCTACGAGGAAAAATGTGGCAGCAGGATTGGAGGTAGTCTCATCAACAATCTGCGTTATGAAGATGACACAATTCTGCTTGCTAAAACTTAGGAGGACCTGAAGCGCATGCTGCAGAAGGTCAAGGATTGCAGCCTTCAATATGGATTGAAGCTCAACATCAAGAAAACGAAGATTCTCACCACTGAGCTGCTTGGCAGCGTCATGAGAGATGATGAAGAGATTGAGATTGTTAACAGCTTCAGTTTGCTTGGCTCTATAGTCAACACTCTTGGTACCAGTAGTCAAGAAATAAAAAAAACTAATTGCATTGGGAAAGTCTGCCATCAGAGATTTCTCCAATGTACTGAAGAGCAACGGTGTCACTCTGGAGACTAAGGTGAGCCTGAACAGGCCATGGTCTTTGCAATAACTTACTATGCATCAGAAAGCTGACAATGGCTAGGGATAATAGGATAAGAATTGACAACTTTGAGCTTTGATGCTGGAGAAGAGTACTGAATATATCATGCACTGCTAGGAGAACAAGCAAGTTTGTCCTAGAGAGGGTGAAGCCAGGCTGGTCCTTAAAGTCAAGGACTCTGAAGCTCTCTCTGACATACTTTGGACATGTTGCGAGGTAGGATCAGTCCTTGAAGAAGGACATCATGCTTGGGAGGTTGGAGAGACAGCGCAAGAGAGGAAGACACTCAATGAGATCGATTGATTCAGTCACTGAGGTAATGGGGATGGGCGTGTCGGAAACAATAAGATTTGCAAGGGATAGAGCAGGGTTTAGGGATGTTGTACCTAGAGTCACTATGAGTTGCAGGTGACTCAACAGCAACATGCTCAAAGTAATGAGAAAAAGCTTCATCATGTTTTCCTCCATGGAGCACTCTGGCTCCACCTTTTCCAAGATATATCTGTTTGTTCTTTTAGAAATTCATGGGATATTCAGTATTCTTCTCCAACACCATAGCTCAAAGACATCAATTCTTTTGACATCCTTAGTTATCGGGACTTCTTTAGTTTTATGTTGGAATATTATATCATGTTGGACAGAAGTATGGATTTTTTAATTATTATTTTAAATTTATTTCAATGAAAGTTTACAGAATCTTTGGATTTCCATTCATTCATTGTTGCACTTTTCTCCCTGCCCACCCCTTGCTCCAATTCACTTCTCTCCTTGAAATGTAAAAGAAAAAACTAATTCATTGTTATTCAATCCCTCCCCCAAAGTCCACACCACTATACTACCTCCATTCTGGACTCCTGTCACACCAATAATATCTAATCATATATCCCTTTTAAATAGGAGATAAAATTTTATTTATGTATACATGTCTAGATGGGAAGTTGACAAGGAATGAACACATTTGTAATCTGACAAGTAACATTTGATGGATATAAGGATATAAATCTGCATGATCTCTTGTTTATCAATAAAGCTATAAGTTGTGGAAAGTCCACCTTCCTAAAATCTTATGAGCCATATCTCTTCTATTGCAAGTTAGATTTTAGCTGATAGCAAAGAAACTAACAGGAAGTTTGTATTTTTAATTGGTGATATGCAGGCATATTATTATATAGATTATAGCACATTGTATGTAACATTGATCTGAAA